AAAAAACCCTACAGGCTTTGAAGCTGGGACAGTACACATGTTAGAGAGCCTGATTTCAGAAATTCTAGCTGGATGCTCCTACCACAAACACACGTGAAGTCTTGCATTTGCTCCCTCGAGTCTAAGGCAAGGGTTCACCGAGCAAAAGCGGCAAAAGGTCGCAGTCCATCTCTGCTTGCCCAGGGCAGACCGCTGAGGACAGGGGTGCTTCAGAGCACCCTGCCAAGCCCTCTCCTCGCACACCCGACCCTGTCCCTCTGCAAGATGCAGAACGCTTGTGGGCACAGTCACTGCTCCATCTGCTAGTGTCAGACATTAGCCAGCTAGAAACGGGCTGAATCTCATTTTAAGTTAATGAAGGAAGTTTCTTTTCTGGAGGGTAAAGCAAGGAAACTGTTGGCTAGCAGCACATACACAGTGAATTTCTTCCCAGTATTTTAGTTCTTCTGATCAATTATTGTAGGATTTTTTTTTTTGACCTCTCACTTTGTTGCAAAAAAACCCAAACTTCAGTTTTACCCATGGGAGAGTCCATTCCAGAAATGGTATGTTCCGGCACTACCAATGTGCTTGGCAGAAAAAAAGTGCACTTTAAGGGCTTTCCTAACTTCAGTTCATTTCAGAGTAGCAATTATCTTCAGTTACTCCAGATGAAAGACCACACAAAATGTCAATTCAAATCCCCTCTTCTACCAGAAGCCCCCCATTATTCACAGCCACCACAGTCCTATTTTTTCCCTAGCTGATGTCCAAAAGGTGGGACCTCCTCTTCTGTGATGCCCACATTTCCTGATGCAATCTCTCCTTCGCTGTCACAACTTCTTTTATGTTTATATTAAAAAAAATCCTATCTCACTTCAGGAAATTTAAGAGCCTTTGTTGCTGGGTTGGAAGAAAGCACTTCCTCCCTCCAAACCCACACATACCTGCTGCTTCTTACCTACTTTCTCCAACTACGTTGATCAGAACAGAAGGAAAAACAGACAAAACATCTAGGTATTTGCATAGCTAGTTAGAGGGAACAGGAAGCTACTCCTTTGGATTCTGTCTCTACTACACTGCAGGAAACAAAGTGGTTAGGATCACCTGAAAGCAGTACACCTCAGAAGGGCTTACATTACTATAAAAATGAACAGGACATGTACCAACGGTGCCCTGATGTCCAGCAGCTACAAAGAGTTTGTATAAAATTTACCAGGATTCTTAGGATGGGGAATCCAACTCTCCAAAAGCAACACTCCGTATTAAAACAATACTAAGCAGTAGCTGCAAAACAGTATCCAACAACACTAAGCTACAGAACGATGACTTCATAATTCACATGCATTTAAAGGAAATACTAGACTTAAAATGAAAACTGGGGTCAACAATACATTGGGACTGTTGAAATCACAAATGAGATTGCTGCTCCTCAAAGCTGAAACTTGTCCCCATCAGACTGAATAACCAAGATGGTGCATGGCACAACACTGCAGTACATCAGAAAACAAACTAGCAGGTCTCCATGATCCAGGCAGAGACAAACTAAAAATCTACTGTGGAGAGGAGAGGAGAGGAGCAAGATTTAAACATGTAAAGTGTTTTTGAGAAAAACACCCAGCAGTGTGCGCCGTTAAGTCCAAAAGTCCAATACTCCCTAGAAATGCATTAACAGCCTAACAAGTTCCTAACAAGTTCAGTATGAACCTTTCCTCCTCTTCAAGAGGAAGGGTTGCACTCCACATCACTTTACATAAACAGTCAAGCTGTACACTTTAGATATTTCAAAGCTGCATTTTTTCAGGAATTTTTTCTCCATCTGCTGCATAAAATCCATTGCTTTGACTACTCCACCCTATAGACGGCTGAGTTTTAGAGCTATTTGTCGAGTACCAGGGACAGTCCCACCTTTGTTTATACAATGATGGCAATGCTTGCCCTAAAGAACTTAAAATTTAAGAGGTATGTCTCATCTGTGACTCACTTGACTGGTCTTAAGCTGGGTAATGGCTACAAGCCCAGTCACAGGAGCCGAAAATCCATCACAGTCTGCAAACTCTCCTGAAGCAGCAGCCTGGGTGCTCCAGAGGTAGCACCTCAGATTTCACTTAGCTTGAGCTCTTCTGTTCAGGCTTGCACATACTTTTGTTGCATATTTCCTGGGCTAAGATGAAACAAGAAGTCCAAAGAAGTGTGGTGTCAGTTCTTGTACTATATTAACTGAAAAGTTTCTGACAGCAGGAAGAGCATGAATGAATCTTTAGAAGGCTTGAAGTGAACAGTAATCGGTGCCACTGATACAGTGGTCTAAGAGGCCCCAAAGAGAGCAATAAAGTGACAGAAACACAGGAAGGAGGGGGAAAAAAAGGGTTTTGCAACAGACTGCTGAGAGCAGAAAAAGGACACAGAGTCTGGAGTGGAGACGCACTGGGGCACACCACCAGGGACAGTGCCAGGGAAGATGAGCAGCACAGTAAAGACTTTGTGAGATCCGTGAGATCCTAAAAACCAGAGAAAGGGGGCAGTGACAGTCATGGAGAGGAGTAAAATGACTACTGGCACCCAGCTCTCCGCAAGAACAGTGCAGGAAAAAAAAGGCTCAAACTGAGGTCCAGCAGGGTTTTCCATGCCTGAGGTGGTAGGAATGAAAAACAAAGAGTTTGGGGTGACTGCAGTCAAAGATATGAGCTCATCACTTGTCCCACGATTTGAGAGTCTTCAGAGTAGGAAGTGCAGGAAGCCATCGCGAGGTCTGACTTGTTTAGGTTTGGTTTTGTGAGGCCAGGCTTGTTTGCCGAGCCTTGTGCTGCAGAAAGGGAACCAGTCACAGGGATCCTGAAGAACGTGGTGACCGTGCCCCAGGAGACCACAAACAGATAAACTTTCTGCTCCTTCAGAAACTCACAGAAATACAACATTTTGCACTTCAGTTACAGCAGCCCCTTACTTGTTATTCACATGGAAGACATGGAAAACGTAGCTTTTGCACCAAGCTTTCCTAACACAGCCATCAGGACAGCTGCATTACTTCTCATAGCCGTTGCTTTACCTTAAATAAAATACCAGGCACATTTAATCTACTTGTCTGGGCGGTGAGAGGAAAAGATCAAAAATGGAAAGATGACAGTTTTTTTAATCGAAAAGCCTCAACCAAATAGAAGTGGAACTATTCCTTACAAAAGTCTTGCCCTTTCACCAGTGAAACTCTTCTCCGTTTCAGAAACGGCCAGGCTTTAACAGCTCACACTAGTGGGCTATTTCTGAACGCCTTAAGCTTTAATTACTTCACAAATTCCAATTTGAAGTAACACATGGCACTTGGAAGAATCCAACAATCTGGATAATTTAACAGAAGCTGATCAAACAATATTGATTTTGAGGAAAAGCTCTAGTTCTCTCAGCGTTCCTGCTGCAGTTGGGCGTTATCTTTAGCTATTTCCAGCAAAAAATTGAAATCAGTAGGTTTGGCAGCTTCAGTAGGACCAACATGTTGACCTTCAGTAATTTTTCAAATACCACATGGTACAGTCATTCATACTGAAAGTTGGTGCAACTTAAGAGCAAAAAATTTTCACTCTAGACATTTTAAAAGAATTGAGGGGAAAATCACCGATACCTCCTTACGAAGGGCTAACCACGATGCTGGTAACATGGAAACTAATCCCAGCTCCATAAGCAGAGAATGTGGAGAGCCACTGCTAGATCAGACCATAAGTCCTTATGTACAAAAAATATAAATAAATTAGTGCATCTGGAAAACTCCTTCCCCTTCCTCGGTTTGGTTCCTCACCAAACTGGAAAATGAAACTAAGCTACAGCTTTTTGGGGCAGTAAACTTGTCAAGAGTTTAACCCAAATCTTTCCCAGTGAAAAAGTGAGTCACAGCAGCAGTGTCAGTTGTCATCCATGACCACAGTTTCTCTGTCACTTCAGTAAAAGAATCCCACTCTTTCTTTTCCTCATAAAAGGAGAAAGCATTAGTTGTATACTAGTCATAAACATCTGGGTAAAAAGATAAACTGTTCACTCTCTCTTCCTCTCTCAACTTCTGTCTTATTTCAAGCATTTTCCCTGGTACTAGAGGAGAAATTACAGCTCAGGTCCAGCAGGCGTTTTCAATCAGATAGTCTGCAAACAGCTCAGACTCGCGTTCCAGAGCCCAGCACGTTGCAGGCAGCAGAAACCCTCCCTCGCTCGTGTGCCCCCTCCAGAGCTCAGTGATTTGGGGGAACTTCCAGCTGCTGGAGGAAGTAGTGCAGGCATGACGAAGCCCTGCCGAAAGCAGGCTGTGGGCTCCTCTAGTTTTCCTGAGATGCCAAATCTGCAGTCAGATCTACGCGGGCAGACCCCGAGGTTCAGGGCAAGAGCAGTGGCTTGTCTCTGCTGACGTCAAGGATCTGCCTGTAGAGTTCGGCGTGGGCTCGGCTCCCCGTGAGCCCCCGCGGTCCTACCAGTTGCTGCAAAGGTGAAACACCTCTGCAGCGGCTGCAGCACGAGCCAGACTGAAGCTGTCACTGCTAGAAGAAATACCTGTCCACCTTGCACATATCAACTGCAGCAAGAAGCACAGCAAACGTATCAGCTGTTTTCCATGCTGACAGCACGACATGCCCAGTTAAAAAAGACAAGAGGCCCGGACACTCAGTATATTAGTCAAGACTGCAGGGACCTGCGGCCATTTTGATTTAATCTTACCGCCTCTCTGCCTAAATAAACTTTTCCGTTATGAGTGATGAATATTCCTCCTCCCACCTCCAGCACGCCTACTGTGAAAGGTCAGACCCCACTTCCTTCCTTACTGTTGCGTTTCCATATTTGTGTAGGTCTCTCCCAGGGTGACACCTGCGAGAAACAGCAGCTTAGAAACTGTTTCGTTAGGACTTGAAAGTTGCAAAGGGAGGTTAGCGCTGGAGTAACTGCTGCACCCACAGTACAACCGCAATCCCCTGCCATCCACCTCTGCATCCCTCTCCTCCACCTCCCCAAAACACACACCTCATTCTCCACCTTCTCGTCCTTACCTCATAAGACCATACACACTGCACTCCTGCAAACCTCCGTACGCATCTCCCCACTTCCACGTCCTCGTGGGTGGTGTACATCTCGCGCAGGCACTCGCCAATGTGAGGCACCATCCGCCGCAGCACTTCCCGGCTCATGATCACGCCTGGTCCCCCCATGCAGAAGTTCTCACCCGGTTCCAGTGCCAGCTTCCCCATCTCTTCTGTGGTGCCAAGGCCAGTCTGACCGAGAAAGAGGGGCTCGCTGCTGTTCAAACTCCTGAGAAAGTTCTCCAGTTTGTCCCCTTTGATGTAAACGTCATCATCAGCTCTCATAAACCATTCGTATTTGTCCAAGTAGTGGTCATGCATGTATTTCAGCATCATAAAAGATTTCTTCTGGGGTGGGTAAGAGTCATCTACACCTGGAAGCGGCACGATGGGGATAGGAATAGAGGTGTCGGAACCCTCGCTGGAGAAGAATTCAACCTTACCAGGAATGGTTTTCGACCAGGTTCTAGATTTAAAAAGACAATAACAATATGGACTAGTTAAATATGCAAACCCAGGCAGGGTAACGGAGGTAACTCAAAGGAATTGTATCTCATCTGCTTTATAAATTTTCTTTTTAAACATCTTTAAGGGTTATTCTTTTCCATACAAACAAAGACAACCACACTGCACACAGGCAAGTGGTAAAACACAAAAAAAAGACACGACAAGCATCCAAACATCATTTTTGTAGCTGTAACTCATAGCAAAATATTTCAACAGCAGTAGGTCGATGGCAGTGGGCAGGATTTCTTAAGCAAACTCAGTACTAGTCTAACAGCTATTGGTCATAAGATACACAGCAAAGCCAAATACAGGCAAACAGTTCACACACAACTGGATTTAATGTCTCAAAAGCTTCGCTGAAAGTTTTTTTAGCACCGTAGCCACCTCTCATTTCCCCCTAGTCCCCCAAAAGCTAAAAACGTACGTTGGAAGCACTGACTTCCAAGGAGTAAACTGACGGCATATTTCACAGGAACTTGTCAAGAATCAGCATGCTGCGGGAAAGCAGTGAAACAGCAGCTTTTCTAGACGCTGTACAGAGAAGGAGGCAGGGCTCTAACAGAAGTAAAATGCTGCTCTTTGTCTGCGCCAGCCTAGGAAGCCCAGGGCAGGGGAGAAAGAGCAACCTGCCCCTTCCAGCACAGGACTAATGGAAAGGTAGTCCTGGGACAGTCATGCAAACCAGCACCAGCATCTAGCTTTCCTCACTCTTCAGTTTGGAGTTTAGTAACACGGAATACTCATGTCTCGATGGGGCAGAAGCTCAGATAAAGGTATGCCTTGAGGAGTCTGCAGTTCTTTTCAGAGATGCAGCAAAAAAAAGACTAAAATAATAGGAGAGGGAAGAGGCCAAATGGGATAAAAAGCACAGAAAGCGCAACAGCCGCCACCTGAGCTCAGAGCAGCTGGAGATTCAGAGTTGCTCTCATGAGACTATTGCCGGAGCAGACATATGCAAAGAGGATTTCTGAAGGTACGACAGAGAATAAAACCACCTTTAAGCACAGTGTGCACTCCTCCTTTAGAGACAGCACAGCTTTATGTTAAATTCTTTCCATAGAGCTCATCATCCTAGCAGGCATGCCCGATTTCCCAGTACAGGTGACAAGGCCCAAGGGGCACAGGGCTGAAGGAACAGTAGCCTCGTCAAGCCCCAGGACCCTCCTAGGACCTCTTTTTGCACTAAGCAGCAACAGCGATAACATCTGTTCCACACCTTTCACGCTGCTCCCTGACAAATCCAGTCCATTTGCATGGGAAAACCAATTTATTTCTATTGCGAGAATAGACATAGGACGACACCTCGTAAGGTAAACTGAAGGAAAGCTGGCCTCCTCCAGGGAAGGTTTTCAATCATGTAAGCATTACAGCCTCGGCCCTAAAGATTATGAATTTCAAGCTTTCAGTACAGTTTCCTCCAAATTCTACCTGGGAGAAGCAGACTTAATGTATCCTGCATAGAAAGACATGGAAAACTGTTCTAATTGGTAACTCGATAGGTTTTGCTCCTTTTTGCATAGGGGGAGAATATTTTCCAGTTATGTTTAGTGACTTTCTTCATGACACAATCAGCATTCAAAGCCCAGCATGAAAATAGTCTCGAGATAAAGAATTCCTTGAGCACATCACTTTTACTTTTACCAGGTGGTTTCTCAACATAAGTTTCTGGCCAAAAGTAGAAGAGATTCTGGGCCGTACAAACTGTCTGAGATCTACAAAACTAGCTACCATATAAAGCCTGAAATTTTAAAACATTTCAGAAGAATTAAACCAGAAGGTCTATTGGGAAATATAATTGTATTTAATTTGTACTACCTAAACATCAACTTCTCGACACCTTAACAGTAACACACTTTAAATCAGCTTCGTGTAATGACTACGGTCAAATTACTTTAAAAGCTTTGTCTTCTCAATTTCTTACTCACAGGGGTAGTTTTTCATGGGAAAAGTTTAGATCCTGAGTTCCCCAAAGAGCACACAGTGAAGTCAATGGAAACACTCCTGTTGACTTCAGAAGAGAGATGATGAGGCCTTTAATCATCAGTGATGTAATTAACGCACAGTAGTACTGGTTATAAAGTTACAATCTGTCAAAGCATGGCAAATTTAAGTTTTAAAAGGAGATAGATGCTCATATCTTGAACGTTCTGTAACCATTAAGAACGTTTCTTTGCTAGTTTTCGGCTAGCCACACTCTGCAGACAAATCATCTGGTTTTGAATGAAGAGACTACATGGCAAATTGCTTTTCCCGTAACAATTCCTGGTGTTTTCAAAGGAAATAACCCAATCTAAGTTTAAAAACCTTCTTTATTAAAAAGTAGGTTCTTGATACATTCCAATCTTAATCTCATAGAAAGAAAAGGTAGCAGAAGCTACTGAGAACTGCAGTTCATCTTGTCCACCATGATCAGGTCCCAGCTTGGGTTCAGATGGAACCAGGATGCTTTGCAGACAATCGCCAGATGGAGTTATTAGATTAGGTCTTACAGAAACATCTGCTTATTGACTTTTGTCTTCAAAAGCAAGCAATAAATTTTCAGACTTGCTGTTGATATCTTTGAAAAGTCTGCCTTTGTAAGGATGATGAGCTATGTACAGTGCAGAACGTCTTCCGTGTTTTCTCTCTCTGAGCTTGAGCTCCTTTCTGGACTCTTTAGTAGTGGCTTTCAACTCTGCTACAACACCACTACTTCTCTCGTTCTCAATTTAAATTTACCCTCTGCTCTCTATCCAAGTTCCCTCACCTCGCAACCACCTGAATTATCGTCAGGCTAGAGTTCCCATTCACTGGGCACGAAGCAACAGCTATGGACTCACCTAAAACCTGGCAGTTTTGATTTCCAGCCCTTGTATGGGACTAAGCCACTTGGCTCAAAGCCAACTTGGCCCAATCTTTTCTTGGACCTGGGCCATCTTTAAGTTTTTACATTGAAACAGGAGTAAGCCAGACAAACATCCTTGCATATGCGGAAGACACAACGCACACCGGAAGACTATGCCCATCAGATAATCACCCTCTAAGGATCAGCGTGCAACTTGTGTCAGTACCACGATATTACTGCAGCCTCACGATGTCACGCTGGCCTTCCCCCACAGATTGACTAAGCCTGTCTTCATTTCTGGCGATAATGCAATTCCTAGGATGAGGAGACTTGCCATGTAATTTGTGACTGCGGCTTTGAGCATATGTTTGAACTCAGACAGATGAGACACGCTCCCACACCGAAAAATTCCATGAACGTCTTTGTCAACGCAAGCGCTGCTCAGCAGCGGCTAAAACAATGGAAGTCTCCATGTGCTGCTCCGTATGTCTAAACTGTAGCTCACTGCTTCATGCATGAAAGAATACAAAAAGAACAATTTGTTCAGGGAACATATTTATTGTACCTTGCAAATGAACCCAAAGCACAGACTGTAAGATCAACTCTAAATACATCTTTCAAACACCAGCTATCACCAGAATTATGGACTGGTAAATGCAGAGATGAATTCTGATCAAAGCTACTTTTAACATTTTTATCTGACATGAGGAACCAAGCCTGGCTCCGTCGCAAGTGATTTTGCAGATCGATGTGTTAACAGCTACCTTTCTGGCCAGTCCTCCAATCTTTGGTTCAGTTTACTGTGCCTGATCTCAGGTTATGGGCAGCAGTCTGACCTGCTCAGCTCCTTAGACACAGAGCTTTTTCCGCAATACCTGTCTACTTGTGTGGCCCAAACAGCACTTGCTGCCATGTGCTGATACTGCCTTTGAGTCAAGACTTACCTAATGTAAGATCTGCAGAATGTAGCCTTATGTTTGATAATGAAAAACAAATGAAAACATTTTCAGAGAAACCTGACACTCTTCTCCCTCTCTCCACCCCCCCCAACTTCCCTGTCACACGCATTTGTTCAAAGGAAATGCGGTCACATCATTTCTGTCACCCGAATCCTGTATTTACTATTACAGAGATCATCGCTATTGCGGTAATCTCTGGTGGCCTTAGCCAGCTTAGAGCCTCTGTGCTCAACTCTGTCCAGAGAGAAATATCAGGTTCAGTACACGATACGTGTACTGAATTGGTCATTTGAAAAAACAGGCGACAGAACTGCTCTGACAGATCCCAGCCTCGCCTCCTCAGCGTAATCTGAATCTGCTCATTTAAATAGGTGGACGTGCATGAATCAGGGTTGCAGGGCACTCCGTTACCTGTGTTAGGAGCAGCGCTGAAAACATGCACGACGTTAGGCGACTTGGTTTCTCTCAGTGCAAGCCGGCATTGCCAAGAGAATTAAGGTACAATTTAAACACGCAGGCGCACGTAAAAAGTTAGGTTAGACTTCCTTAAAAGAAAGGCTTTTAACAGAGAAGGTTAGGATTGCTCCAGTGTTGTTGGCTAACAAGTCAGTTTTATTATCCGTCAACTGTTCTTGCAATTAAATCTTGCCCTATTTCCTACGCGAACCCTAACCGGAGCAAGCCATTAGCATGCTGTTTAGGTGTAAAAATTTTTGCACAAGTAGTACAGGTATTTATGCGATACAAGTCACATTTCTATTTCATATGGGGAAAAACATATGGACAAATAGCTAAAAGTGACCACTGTTACAGTTATTAAATGTTGTCCTAAGTCATTTCTTCATTTAAAGAATAAAGAAAGTATAGCCTGCCCAGCAGGAGGAGCACAAATCAGGAATGTTTTCTTATCTTCAGTTTCCACAGTGTTTATTATTTAATTGTATTACCTTGCCCTGTTATCAGCTCTGCAGACTCAGCAAAAGCTGAGCTAGCTGCATTATGCAGACAGTGCTCCCTTTGTAGAGACCCAAATTAGAGAGCATTAGAAAAAAAATGTATTTGGTTTTTGTCCACGCAGCTTGGGAACCTCCCTTAGAGGAGACCAGAAAAACCACTTAAAGTTTTTTAAAAAGTCATCTTGTATAATTATGCTGAAAAAAAATCACAACTAGTGAATAACTCGGCAAAATAAGGGACCTAGAAGAGTGATTTCCTGAATCCATGGTTCAGCTGAACTTCATGTTGGATGAGGGCTAGTTTTGCCCAAGTGTCCTAAGTCAACGGTTCCACTGTTCCCGAAGGGGTTGCTACGGAGGAAGCAATCAAACGCAGCTCGGTCAGAAGGGCTGAGCACAGAAACCAGCACGCCTGCTCCTGCTTAGGGTACTGCAGATCACCACCATCAGAAGTCAAACGGGCCGTTTTTGAATTTACAGACATTTTTAAAAGATCTTCACTTGCCAGTTAAGATCTGCATTGCAGAGTTCAGATTTTGAGGGGAAGTTCATTTTAACTTTTCGCAGGACAGCCTGATACCTAGCTTTCACAGAAAACCCAAGCTGCTTCTACAGCTCCTTAAAGCCTTCTGAATTAAACGCCCTCCAACTTAAAGAGATGCCAGTTTTCATTCCCTGTTTCCACAGGGAAGATGGGTATATGCAAGGCTGCATCTGTAGGCATGCAGATATTCTGTGGGTCACACTGAGATCAGAGCCCAAGCACCCCACCGGTTAAGCCAAATGGTTATTTTGGGATATGGAGGTGACTTCATTTCTCCTTATCCCCCATGCATCAGTGCTAGTTGCTCCCACCATATTTGTTTCATACTGCTCCATAAACATTCTCGGAAACGCTAGGTAACTGCTATACCGCTCAGAAAGCCTAAGTATGTCATATGCCTGCAAGATGATACATGACCAGGACAAAAAGAACTGTTACTATCGCCATGTTGGGTTTTGTATTGGTAATTTGAGTAAAATGTTTATAAAGCTGCCAGGATGTTCACAGTCACTTCACATGGCCTTTTCCCCAAGAGATAAGAGTGCACACTCTGCAATCCGTCTTACTACCTCGCTAGCAACCAGAAGGACCAAAGATGAGGAATACCACCCAACAGCCTAAACCTAGCATCTGAATCTAAAAGAAAGTCTGCACAAAAATGTGTTTTGCATTATTCTTCTGCAGCAGCTAGTGCGGGCTTAGACAGATAATACAAACTCCTTTAGACCCCAAATCCTTCTGGCTGCCTTTCACTTAAGCTCTCCCAAGCGCTCAGGTATTTAGATTCCATTGCAGTCTGTTTCCTATAAGCCACCACGAACAGTGCGACAGCACGTTCGAAACGGAGGCTCCCAAAAGGCGGCCTCCTGCCCCGTGCTTGAGGGAAAAGAGTCAGCACAAGCACTGGAGTCATTGTGTAATACCACAAAATGGCATCTCTCTCTCTCGTAGCTCTTGTGCATTCACTTCCATGGCACTTCTAGGTGCGGCACTGACCGTCCCAAACGGAGACTACTGCAGCTGTGTTACTGCAGAGAGACCGGGCAATAACACTGCAATGGACAGGGCAGACGTGGTCTCAAAGGCCAACCTCTGCCCTTTGCCAGCATCTGACATCTATCCATTAGCTGCATTTACACTAGCCTCTTTCCAAGTTTCCCGGGAAATCCAGTTGCTATGCAAAAACATGGGTTAACTGACTGATATTTCTTTTCCCGAGACACAGCAGACTTAAATCTTCTGGGAGACTGTTTGTTCCTCTCCTCTCCTTCCGGTAGTTCTTTCAGAACAACTCCCCTCAACTCCAAAAGGTTAGCAGGTATTGTTGCACTTTCCCTGAACCCTACCCACTACCCGTACCTTAACTCTTTCCTGCGCAGTTCTTTCTCCGCCTGTAGTTTGATGCCCCGTGATGAGACACTGCACCTCCTGCTGCTGTACCTCCCCGGCCTTCTAGAAGGGCAGCTCTGCCAACCCGGCTGTCAGACGGAGTAACCGCCGAGGCTGCGACTCTGCCTTCTAACAACCTGTCGATCCCAAGCTTATTCTCCTCTCACGGATTACAAAAGCACAACTGTTTCAGAGCCTCACATCTCCTGAAAATTCAGCAGGCCCGTTTTCCCTTGCAAGGGGTCATTTTGCTCTTGATTGATTTTCCGGAAGCGTATTACTTCCCTTCTTGTTAGGCCATAACCGGATTCACAGCAGCAAGGATCAGCGAACGTTTTCCGCTCGGGTCCCTTTCAGCTGTGCCTGTAAAAGCCCTTTTAACCGCAGCAATTTGGAGGTATTCGCCCTCTGAATCCCTAATTCCTTTCCCTGCTCTGGCTAGCGTGCTATGGAGGCTCTACACACCCGCCACCCCGGGAATGCCTTGCTAGCAGCTTCCCATTTTACTTGCTGTGCCAGCAATTCAACTCACCAGGATGCTTTGTCAATGTAGTAATCCCAGCAATTGTCTACTTGAGTACTTCATGGCAATCAAAAGCCATTTAAGATTTCAGGTTTGTCTTCCTTCCTCCTTCCTTCCTCCCCCACCCCCCCCAAATGTATTCCTGTCACCAGGACATTAGCTTGTTTCTTTTACCAACAGCAGGCAGGAAAATGCATTTAGGCCTCCCACAACGTTAAGAGGTCTCATTATTCGTCCCTTCCGAGAGCTGACAACATCTCTAGAGGTTAAACCAAAATAGAAGCGCAGTAAAAAGTGATATTCGTCCCTCCTTCCAAGACAGGGCTGTATTCCATTAGTTGGATTTGCTGAGTTGCCTCTCTAACCATTTTTTCTTCTTGCCCAGATATTACAGATCTGGCTCTGCAAAGCCAGCTCTCCTAAAGCACAGGAGTATTTAGCAAGCTTTGCCAATATCAAAGATTACAGTCCTTCCCAGCTCAGTTGCCACAGAGTGAAAAGGCTACATACACTAACCCCCGTCTCTGGACAATATTGTGACAAATTCCCTTTCTGGAATTCCTGACACAAGATACGATCAACGCTAGACAAACTATTTTGCTGTAAAACCTGTCAGTGATGTCCCCATGCGCGGCCCAAGCCTTTCAGTATGTAAATGTAAATTACACGGCTCACAAGATTTGCAATCCAAACTACTCCATCCCACATGTCAGAGAAAAATACATAACCCTGAAGAAACAGATTCTTTCGCCCAGTTCAAAGCATCAATCATACACCCTCTGCAACTTAATTACAGGTCTCCTGATGAATTCTAATTAGGCAGGGAAGGAATTAAGCTTCCCTGAAGATTGCCTTTAGTGGGCAACATGCTTAAGATTTCCCCAAATTAAGCGACTTGACTGCACTTGATGCTGCTGTAAAGAAAAGCGCCCTTTTCCAAAGAAGGGGCTGGGTAGGAGGAGGGAGAAGGGTAAAGAGACAGTCTTTGTCCTGCGCGGTTCTGCCATCCTGTTCTCACCGGCCAAAGGGGCCAAATATCTCCTCACCTGGGCAAGGGAGGAGGACGGAGCAGGGGCTGTTTTACGGCAGAAGAAAGGCGATGCTTTCTCACAAAAAGATCTGCCTCCGAGCTGCCAGCCGCGAACTAGGATAGCTCCAAGCTGACATTTCAGTTCTTAACTCTTTCGGCTTACCAAAGCGCGCCTTCCGACACACCCTCCCCGCGCCGGCCGGCGGCC